ATAATTCCTTATTCAGCATATATTCCTGTCGTGATTTCTTGTGACGCTTCCGAAGATGGTCTAGGAGCTGTTATTGCACACCGATTTCTTACTGGCCAGGAGAAACCGATTGCTTACACGTCGAGGACACTTTCGTTGACTGAAAAGAATTACGCCACCATTGATCGGGAGGCTTCGGCGATCATGTTCGCTATCGAGAAGTTTCATCAATATATTTATGGAAGACATTTTATTTTGGTTACAGATCATAAACCTTTAAAATATATCTTATGTGATAAAAGAGACCTAAATAAAATAACCGTTTAATACGGTGGGCGACGAAGCTTTTAATTACGACTATGAGATAATTCATAGGCCGGGTAATCAAAACAGATGCGCCGACGCTCTATCCCGTTTGGGGGTAGAGAGAAAAAAAATTAATAAAGTTTAAAAAAAAATTGAAAATGAAATTAGAGAAGTAAAGATCAATTTAATAAAAGATTTATTGTTCACTCGAAGTAAAGTTATAATTATAAGTGAAACGATCAATGATATAAATCTAAAAGATATCATTAATTTAATAAAAAATATTTGGCATATTGATAATATGAATAATTATTCGAAAAGTTTAAAAAAATTCATCTTAATTAAAAATAATATTTCATTCGAAGAGGGGCTATTATTTTATGATAGAATCATTATTCCTGATAACCTAAAAAAAGAGGTTTTGAATGTTATCCATCAAGGACATCTTGGAATAGTGGGGATGAAATCTTTATGCAGATACTATGTCTTCTGAACGAATCTTGATCGTGATGTTGAAGATTTCGTCAAAAACTGCAAGAGTTGTCAGGAAGGAAGACCTGGAGCCAGAGAAGTACCGCTATACAATTGGAATATTCCTACCTGACCTTGGGAACGGAATACACATTGATTTGACAGGCCCCGTGTCTGGAAAGTATTGGTTAATTTTCGTAGATGTTTACACCAAATGGGTTGAAGTTGCAATTTTAACACATATTAATTCGACGAGTGTAATAAATAATCTGCGTAATTATTTCGCTAGATTTGGTTTACCTCGTTACATTGTTTCAGATAACGGTACTCAATTTACTGGATGTGAATTCAAAACGTTTCTTTTTAAAAATAATATAAAACATTTTATATCGGCCCCTTATAGCCCAAAATCGAATGGTTTGGCTGAGCGTTATATACGTACGATAAGACGCATTTCTATGCTGGAAGGAGAAGTGAGACTCTGGACCAGTTAAATTTAGCGAATGTTTTAATTACATACCGAAATATTCCAAATGCAACTAACGGTAAATCTCCTGCCGGAAGGCCGCTCAGGACGACGTTAGATCAATGGAAATTATCTACGAGAGAAAGGACCGAAAACGCGTTATGGAAATAAAAAAATTATGAAGGAACGTTGAGCCCAGTGAATTTGAAGAGAAGCAAAAGGCTGGGGTAAAAAAGAAAGGACTGCGGGATAGCATTAAGGGACAGTAGTTCAACGGTGAAGTGCGATATTGTATGATGTTGAGTCGGAGTGTATTGTAAAAAAACAAACATGCCGACCAACTGAGGGAAGCTCATGTACAGGCTAAGGTAACACCCATAACAATGACTGAGGATTTGGACATTGCAGAACATAATGGAAATACAACTTTAAAAAAAAGAGTTTCGAAACCCCCATTATGTTTTTATAATGAATTCAATTTATAGTGGGGAGAACTGTAATGCATTTAAATAAATTGATTTTTATATTTGCTCTAAGCTACAATTTATTATAATAGATAAAAATAGAAAAACATTTCAGAGAATATTAATGCTTTATGTGATAAGTCAAAATTAACATATTTCAATGCCCTATATTTTTTTTACGTTTGCATGTATTAGTGTAAATCTTGTTTTTATATTGAGGAATATATATCAAAAATGAATTATAATGATGATATGATATATAAATTATTTTTTCAATTTAATATTTAATAAAACTTTTTTTGGGAAATTTGGCACAAATTATAATTATCCTCATTATTTTTTATCTAAACATAATAAATTAAAATAAATATTTTATCAAGTTTAAGATTTGTTCTATCTTATATCTAAATATTAAACCAAAATATTAAATACAAAAAGAGATATATACATTTGAATTGGGGTCTATTAAACCCCATCAGAGTCTGTTGCGTTATTCCTTTATCTTATTTTTTGTTTTTTGCATTTGAACTTTTATTATTTTGTTATAATCTAATTTTATAAACGGCGTAACCTTACTTTTTTATATATTATTTTACTTTTTTATATTTGTTTATATTCTAATTTGGACCTATAAAAAATGTATATAATTGAAGTATGAAATGAAAAAGTTAGTTAATAAAATATATTTTTACTGACTCGAACCCCGCACCATATCGTCACCACCCATATTCTTTGCATGGTGCCCTTTGGGTGGTGGACTAGAAAAAGATGACTACCTAATCTGCTGAGATGACCATCTAATCTATGACGATTGCTTAATCCATTGAGATGACTCTATTTATATGACTACCTATTGTGATGATTGCTTAATCCATTGAGATGACTCTATTTAGACTACCTATTGTGACGATTGTTTAATCCATTGAGATGACTCTATTTATATGACTACCTATTGTGTTGATTGCTTAACCTATGGAGATGACTACCTATTATGACTCTACCTTGTGCTAAACCTATGGAGATGACTACCTATTATGACTACCTTATCTATTGTGATGTTATGACTACCTTATCTATTGTGACTACCTAAACTACTGAGATGACCAAGAATCAAACCTTAGTACGTTCTTTCATGCAAAAAGCTTCTTTCTTTATGGTGTCCCGGCTCCGGATGTTGGACTGGAATATAATAGCCAGCACCTAACCTAATGTGACAACCTAGGAAGAACTGATATGGAAGTTGAACGATAGGTTATGAATTCTATTTTGTGAGACCAATGATGGTTACTTATTATTCTAATCCACGTAAGAAGTATTATAAATTAAAATTTCATGCCAGGATAAAGGCATGTTATAAATTTTTAAAATTACTAAAATGTAAAATCATAATGGATAATATTGATATTTTTTGATTTCTTGAATGATGACCAATTGTTGTAAATTAACATAAACCTAAAGATGAATTCTTAAATATAATTAAAAATATTAAAAATCCTAAACAAGAAGATAAAACTTAATTTTAAATATGTTAAAATGTAATTTTTAAATCACATGATTGATTCAAATAACCCTTATAAGTAATACTTAATATGATAAAAAGTTTTTGAAATTAAAAGCTTTGAAGACAAAAAGTTATGTAAAAAAACATTCATTTTAGAAAAATATATTTAAATATATGTGGTGAATTTTCAAAACTATCTTATGAAGAATTTTTTTTTTTGAATTAAAATTAGGGTGTGAAATTTAAATTTTTTTTTAAGAGGGAAATGTGCATAATATTTGCATATTTTAACCTCGGAGTTTGAAAATAAATAAAAATAAATTAAATATTAAAACGCTTATAAAATATGAAATGCTAAAAAATGTAAAACGCAAAAAATATAAAACGCTAAAAATATAAAACGCATAAAACGCTAAAAGTATAAAACGCTATGATTAACTTAACACCTAAAAAATAATATAATAATCATTTATCATTCCTTATTTTGGATTTTATTCCTTATTCCTTAAATTATCATTCCTTATTACATATTATTACATATTTTATTGTTCCGAAATTCAAAATGTTATTCGTGCATATTATTCATATATTTGATTTGATCAACTATTCCAAATTACATATTCTGATTTATTCCAAATTCCAATATTTAACTGGAAAAATGATAATTAACAATTGAGTACGATCAAACAAGCTATGATCAATGGAGACAATTTACGATATAAATATCAAGCTTGCGATTTAAACAAACCACCGTGCAAAATCGATTTATACAAACCAACGATTGGACAAGCCAACGTTATGATGATTTGTGTTACAACTTGATTACCAAAATTATAAACCACTTGAACAACAAACTCTCTATGACTTCTCCGATGAAATTATCAGAAGAGGGAGAATGTTGCGTTATTCCTTTATCTTATTTTTTGTTTTTTGCATTTGAACTTTTATTATTTTGTTATAATCTAATTTTATAAACGGCGTAACCTTACTTTTTTATATATTATTTTACTTTTTTATATTTGTTTATATTCTAATTTGGACCTATAAAAAATGTATATAATTGAAGTATGAAATGAAAAAGTTAGTTAATAAAATATATTTTTACTGACTCGAACCCCGCACCATATCGTCACCACCCATATTCTTTGCAGAGTCCTAACGTCATTTTTTTCACCGGAGTATTGAAGGGTTAATAAAATACAAATGAGAAAAATTAATAAATTAATTCGAGTTTTTAATATCTTGGTAATTAATGGCCTAATAATGTAATTTTATAACTAATTCTTCTGGAATTCTATTATATATGTAATAAACAAATTATATCCTTCACTTATTTTAATTTTTTAGGGGTGTCATACAGGATATGGAATTCATAGGGGATTAAGAATTTCTCAAATTTAATCATTTACTTAGGGCAATTTTTGAATTTATAACTCTGATTGGACCGGAAATGTATTTAAACTTGTATATATATTACCTACACTGATTTCGTCGTATGCTTCGGAATTGTTCTTAATTTATATTATATTATAAATTTAAAAAATATCCATAAGTTAATGGCAAAAATATCCGAAATGTGTGTATTTTATGCATTTTTGATAGAATCAGATTTTTTTAAACTTTAAAACCCTCCGTTAAATATTAAAATCGAAGAATTCCGAATCCCCATGGACCCGTTATGAAACATCTATGTGTATAAAATATTTGATGATGCTCTAAGTAAATATCTATAAATAATTTTCCTAGGGTTTCCTTATTGATTAGGGAAATGTGTTACTTACCTTAATTTATAATTCATTTGATTTTTGTACAGTTTATTTTGCATAAATCGATGAAATTCAATATATAATTATTTAATGGAAAATAAATATTATAAAGTTGACATATTTTCATGATCACATTATATAATTAGGATCCAGGTATTGCTTTGCAGAAAATCCATATCATTTCATATGTCTAATATAAAATAAATAATAATATATTGAATTAAAGAAATCAAATTTTTTTGAAAAGAAAAGCAATGAATAATACTAGAAAAAAATGTATAATCTTCTTTTTAAAAGATTAAATTTAATTTCAAACATTAAAAATAAAAATAGATATTTAAAAAAAGAAGCATTTATGGACTGATTAATAGGTAAGATTTATATAATTCAAAATTACGCTGGGTGGTGTGTCGTGGTTCTACCGCTTAAAATTAAATAAGGAGCTTTTATTTCTTTTTGCTTATTCAACAGTAAGTTGACAGTGTTCATTGGTGAATGATCAGTTTTCACGTTTTGTAAAACCTTTTAATATTAAATTGTATATATATTATATTATTGTTGCTGTAAAATCAAGTTAGAACAATTTAAAAAATTTTATTATACTTAATAATATTCAAAATCACAATACCAATATAAATTAAAACATTGCTTAATAAAGAAAATATTTTTATATACTTAATTTTTAAAAAGGAATAAAGATTGCCGTTCTGTAAATGGTTCTCAAAATGGGCAATTATATTTTCAGATTTATAATTATTTTTAAAATATTCAAAATTAAAAAAATCTATAATATTCAAACGATTATATTATATTTCACAATACAATAGCTAAATATACTACACGTTAAAAAAATATTATCAAAAGAAGGAGCTGGCGACTTACATCCACAATCTTCTTGTTTCGTTTTTCTATTTTCTTTTTGCCAGATCCTTTGCCGTGAAATTTATGAGACATGTACCTAAATGCTTCCTTGGTATTCAGAATTTTGCCAACATCGTCGATGTAATCTAATTTTATATCAGGCACGTAATCTTTTTTCTCCTTTAAAAAATGATTAAAAAATAGTGATAAATTTAATTCCGTCCGTCACAAAGGACTAGAAAATCTAGCTAAAAATAGGACTAACACCGCAAGATTATTGAGGTCATCCCCTTACCTTTTAATTTCAAATTATTTAATGTAGGTAAATCAAAATAGTCATAAAATTATGATTCTTATGTAAAATTTGGTTTACACGTAGATTATCATATTATCTATCCAATTTTAAATACAAATCAATTATTTTTTAAATGTTGATTAGAGTAATCAAATGACTAATAATCAATATACAATAAGGATTCGACTTAAAAGCCATGTCTTTGATGTCAATATACTTCTTACATAACAGAACATCTCACATTAAATGTATAAAAATAAATTGTATGTTTTAAGAGACTTTTAGAGTCCTTAAAATTCATTATTTTCAGTCTGTGCAGGCATTAAATTTTTATTAATTTATAAGTTGGAAGCCGGACCAAAAATTTTATTTATTTTTAGGCCTGAGTCCAATCCCGAACCGAATTTCGTATTGAAAATTTTTAATTAAATGCATTTTTATGAAGTTAAAAACAAAAAAATGATTGCTTTGTCCTAATATCAAAGAAATCATAATTATCGTTTTATTTTCATAAAAGAGAAGAAAAGATTATTTTTTAAGTCCGAGCTTGGTTCTTGTAAGACTCTATCATTAATCACTAATTTAAATATTCTAATCAAAGAAACAAATGCGACAAAATTTTCCAAAAAGTATTTGAAATAAACCTAACCTTCAGCCCTAAACCTAACTAATACAAAAAACTAATATAAGGGTAAATGAGCAGGAAAACCGGGAAAAATTATGAAGAAAACAAAACACAAAATTCGTAAATAAATATAAAATGGCATTATTTTTTAAGTACATGTATTTTTAGAAAAAAATATGTAATCAGTATTATTAATAATAAAATTAATTTTATGTTATTACTTTGAAGTCCGTTAACGGGCCAGATGAGTACCTATCCCTTCTGGTATATTTATCGTCTATATCGAAATGTTTGTCCTCTATATTAAACCTCTTACATTTGAGATCCAAATATTCCGCGCTCATTTCAATGTCCTGTTCCCCTTTGTCCAGGTAACCTTTTAAAATTTTATAATTAGGGTAAATAAACATTTGTATACAATTCATAGCTTAAAATTTTCGATTTTCAAAATTTAAAATAATCTAGTTATCAATGCAACACTAATATAATTATCACTCAGTCGATAATTTAAACGGAAAAAACCTTTCGCTTTAACGAGAATTAGGGCTTGTGCAAGTCCTTTTTCAATGTCGGGCTCTTGGGTTATAGAAACTTTCTCTTGCGTGGTTTGTAAAAATTTGTCGATTTTAGATTCATCTTCATCTGAAGATGCGATATCAGATTCGTATTTTTTGGTATCCTTTTCGCAAACAAAAAAAATATTATTCATAGATTAATCAAAAAAATCAACTTATCATTTTAAGCTAAAAAGTATTTATATTGAGTATTCAGAAAAAATGGGTTGCTCAAAGAAAATCTTTTTTATAGCCATCTTAAACTAAGCAAAATAAACCTAATTCCGTATGTCAACTAGAGATCTGCAAAAGTACGGGCCTAATATTTTTAAAAAAATTCGGGCCGGGTCAGACCTTAGAAATTTTTTTAATTATTTCTAAATTTATTAATTTTATGTTGAATTTTTTATGAAAAATAAAAATATTTGATTTTATCTATAAAAACTAGATGCCATATGACATAGTGATCTGCATCGGGCCTATTTTCAAGCCCGGCCCGAATCCGAAATTTTTTAAGAAAATTTACCAGCCCGGTCCGAACTTATTAAAATATAGAAATTAATTTTTATAATTATTTAAAATAAAAGACATATGTTATATGGCGTCTAGTACTGTAAATAAAATCAATTATTTTTATTTTACATAAAAAATTCAATATAAAATTGATAAATTTAAATATATTTAAAAAAATTTCCAAGGCCCAACCTGACCCAGATCTCTAATATGACATATATCTTTTATTTTGAGTAATTATAATTTTTTTTAAAAAATTAATTTCTATATTTAAATAAATTGCCGGACCGGTAAAAATTTTTAAAAAAATTTCGGGCTTGAACTGGCTAAATTTGTTTAAAAAAATCGGGCCAGGTCGGGCTTGAAAAATTAGGCCCGATGCAGATCACTAATGTCAACACAAAAACATATATTACGCTTCTAAATTCTAAGTCGTTGAGATATTACTTAGTTTGAAAGTCTCATCATTTTTTTTTATTGGATAGGAAATATTTTTTTATTCTTCCGAGTTTGGAATAGTTATTTTAATAATAGGGGGTTGGAAATTTCGGCTGAGACTTTATGCGTGAGATACACTTGAGGTGCTAATTCTTATTTTTGGAATATTAATTCATGAGATATCATTGGTGAATAAAGGACTATTTGTGGCTCGAGTTAAATGGGCTTTGTATTTTAATGTTTTCATAATATGGTAATTTCGTGGCTTTTTGAGGGATATTTCGATTAACCAAATAAAAATTCTTGCAAGAAAGACATGCCAATTTATTGAATAATTAAAAATTGCATATAATATTTTATATTTTTAGGTCCGAATTTAAATAGAAAAAATATAAATTAAACGCAAATTCATGTTAAATGATATAAAAATTAATAATTATCACAAAGAAATTCTAATTTTATTTTGATTAAAAGAAATAGAACATAAGTGTATATATTACTTTTTAAGCCTAGATTCGTTTTTGCAATGGTCCAATTAGAGCTGTCTAAGTTTTTGCAAAATTGGTTTAATATACTTTGAAAAGAAAATCGATTAACAGTGACTACTGTAAAGTTGTTAAAAGATAATTTTCAAATGGACCTAGATACAGACCATCATATAAAATGTGTCTTATATTTTTTACAATATTCATTCATTTATAGGGGCAACGTTAAAAATTTTAATATTCATGTTAAATAAAATTTTAATATTCATGTTAAATACAAATAATTAGTGCTGCATAATGCATTATAAAAGTAACGTCGGAAATTTGCACATGTTAAAAAAATGACCCTAAATTTATAAATTGAAGAAAAAAAATTGAGAAAAGATATAGTAAGAAAAATAAAAGTAAAGAAAATCGCAAAAGATTAGAAATAAATTGAGAAAAGATACAGTAAGAAAAAGAGGTAAAGAAATCGCAAAAATTTAGAAATAAATTAAAAAGGAATAACTAAATTTAAAAAAAAGTTTAAGAAAAATTGACAAAAAATTAAAAAAATATTATGATTTTCTTATTTTGAATGGAAAACCCTGTATCTAGGGTACATCTTCACTAAATTTTTATTTAAACATGTTAACAATGCTTATTTTATCCCATTTATGTCAAAAAAATTCAAAAACAACGATTATGACAATTGTCACTTTTCTACTGTACATCTTCACTAAATTTTTATTTAAACATGTTAACAATGCTTATTTTAGCCCATTTACGTCAAAAAAATTAGAAAAACTTTAAAAACAACGATTATGACAATTGTCACTTTTCTACTGTACATCTTCACTAAATTTTTATTTAAACATGTTAGCAATGCTTATTTTAGCCATTTACGTCAAAAAAATTCGAAAAACTTTAAAAACAACGATTATGACAATTGTCACTTATCTAGGGTACATCTTCACTAAAATTTTATTTAAACATGTTAGCAATACTTATTTTAGCCCATTTATGCCAAAAAAATTCGAAAAACTTTAAAAACAACATATTCTTATTATAGTTTTGTTCACATTAATCAGTTTCCCAAAATTTAGCAATTTACCAGATTTTATAAAAAAACAAAAAAATTGAGCAGACCCAACGAGTCAAATACACGAGTCGACTAAGCGAGCCGACCAATGCGGCTCATTTAGTCGACTCGAGTCAAAGTCGTTTTTTCGACTAGAAACTAGGCTCGAGTCGCAGCTAAGCCGACTCGGCTTAGCCGTTTAACAACACTAACTACCAGTGGAATACTCCAGGTAACTCTAGTTGTTCATGGATCTTTTTTCTTTATTAAGTTATTTTCATCCAAACGTTTCAATTCATTTTCAATTTCTACTTTTAAAGACAACAGTACTCTTCTAGCTGGTAGTGCAATTGGTTTTGTATTTTCTTCCAATTGTAGTTTTACTGGTTCGACATTTTTTATTAATCCAAATTTATTATCAAACATCGTAGCGAATTCTTTATATAGTTTGTCAATATTCACGTTACCATTATCATTATTATTATATTTATTGTTGATCATGTTGATTTTTACATTTGTTGGTAACAATATATCAAATTCTATAGTTCACGGAAATCCAAATAGCGCTGCATCATTTGTTTTTGTAACTAATAACGAAAGCTATTTTATTTTATCATTTAATTGAACTTTTACATACGCTTCTCCCATAATTTTTATTGTATTGTTTCCATATGTAGTTGGAGCTCTAACCATTCTAAGTTTTGGTCTCCCAATTATATTCCATATTATAGCATTAATGATGGTTACTGCTAACCTGTATCATATTCCATTTTAATTTCGTGGTTGTTTATTAATACTGTAATTGTTGGGTGCTGTCCATATTTGTAGATTTCTTATCGAGAAATCTGAATCCTCAGCGTTACTATTGTAATTAGTACCGTACACTTTTCCTTTAGTTTTATAACACACTGCAAAGTGGTTTATTTTTTTACATTCAAGTTTTTCCGTACGCTGGGAAATTCCGAATAAAAACGATTACAAAAATAGCATGGTTTTCTTGTATTATTATTTTTTGAGTGGTAGTTATTATAACCTTAAACTGGTTCTCTTTTTACATATGGTTTATTATCATTTTGATAGTGCCGATTATCATTATACTGTCGATTTATACTATCATTTTGATTTAATCGTTTATTATTATCATTATGTTTAGTCGTCTCTTTGATTTTATAAACTATTTTAGTAATATTATTTATTTCTAGCTAAAGTCATTTCTATAACCTTGTTTAAGCTTAACGGTTGGCCTTCGCTCTAGTATCTGGGTATCTTAAACTTAGTTCTTTATCTAGTTGTGACATCTTTAATCCAGCGTTTAATTGATCACGAATTCGTAATTTTATATTATCTTCAAATTCGCATCTACGGGCTAATTCCTTTATATTTTTTAAATATCTCAATACGGATTCTGTTGGTCCGCGACTTAATCTAATGAAATCAATTCTTGAATGCCAAAACAGTTTTTTCATCTTTAAAAAGTTGTTTTGCAATTTTGTATAGATCTCTGCCCATACCACATCATCAATTTTTCTTGGAAATAGTAATTTTTTTTATATCAGTTATAATATTTATTCCTCCATATGCTATGATTAATTTTTTCAAGCGTCAGTTTGAGGAATATTCTTTACATTCAAAATATATTTAATATAATCTACATAATCATCATGAGAACATTCTTTTTTGGAATTGATTTAATGTAATTTATGAAATATCACTTATAATTTCTAAAAAGAAATATTATTATATTTTTTTAAAAAAAACAAAAATAAATATACAAATTCTATTTAGTATTTAATATTTAACTTGACCGAAGACCACATTTTTTTTTTATCTCGTCGCCAATTTTATAGTCAAAACAATTGGTATCATTATTTTAAATTCTTATCTATATATACTATCTTATAATTATTAAATTTAACTTCTATAAGTATTCAATTACATTTACTTTTATATAATATTAAATATAAATACAATATATCATTTTATGACAAATATATTATTCAAATAACGTTTAATCTTATAAAATATAACACATTGACAACGCGCCTCATTCCCAAAGTATAGTTTTTAATAAGTTTAACTATATCATCCTAGGTCTAATGGGAAAATAGAAAATTTTGCATAAACCTTTAAATATATATTTTAAAATCACACTAAGGACTTCAAAAGGTTATAATTTTTATTTTGATATCGAAATTGTTCTCACACAATCTCAAGGCAACAGTAATATTCTTCTATATTAATAATTACCACCTATAAGGCACTTTAAATTAATTAAAACATTTTTATCCTCACCCATAAATTGTATCTCTTTTTAGAAAAATTAATGAAAGAGTCTGGGCTAAAAATGTTTAAAAAAACGGTTCCCCGTTCTGGGTATAAATAATAAAATAAATAGGCCTTATAATTTTGATCGTGTAAAAACAAAAGATACCCAAGTATGAGTAGTTTATTTGATGATATCGAGAAATTTATAGTGGCTACCTATGATGTGCTATGCATAGTACCTTAAGAATCAATACTCTCCCTAACCGGTTTACGGGCCTGCATGTCCCTGACCAATATCCAAAAAATTAACATCTAAAATAGTGACATCCAAAAATTTCAGAATCAATTCCACCCCCTCCCCCAATATCAGAATAGCTTTTGTTAATTTCTTATTAGTAGTAAAGTTTTTATTATAACCAAACTTAAATTTGAGAGTAATTTTGCTCTATATTTTAATTTCAATAAAAAAATCAGAGAATAAAGTAGGGCTGGGGAGGTTTTAAAATCTATATAAAATAAAATAGAAAGCTCGGGCAGATTCAAATAAAATAACTTGTTACAATATTGTTAAAAATCTCACCATATTTTGGTCTTCGTTTTTGTCAGAAAGCGCATTTGCTTGTATATTTCCGAGGATCCTACAAAACTCTGATGTCGTGTTCAAGACGATGTGAGACTTTTTAGTGTTTCCCGGTTCACTCCTTTCATTGATATTAGTGGTTGATTCGTGTTCCTCATCTGAGAGGATTTGTGAGAGCTCGTTTTTTATGATATCCATAACCTGTTTTTATTGAAATTGTTCGGTTCGATCATTTGATATTAGTAAAGAAAATAATATTATAGCAAATTTATGCATAAAATCAGCCGTCAGTTGCATCAAAATAGATTAACGGAAAGTATTTTTAAAATTGCAGTTTTGAAGGTAGGGTTATAAGAAAATGGATTCTAACTAATAAATTTTAGGGTTGGCAACATGATTAAATCAAATAGATTAAAATTAATTTTTTATTTTTCTTGATAAATAAAAACATTAATCACTAAGTTTGTAATAAGTTCTAATTAATTGCTAAATTTAATTATCAAAAATGATTTTACATAATGTTAAATGAAAAATTATTTTTCTGATTTAATAGTCCCATCCAAAAAATTTTTTTATTGTTTAAATTTAAGGATTTATTTTATTATAAACTATTCTGTAAATGGCTAGATTTATAACAAAAGCTAAATCAAGATTTTAGCCAAATAAAATATCGTAAACCCCCTGATTTTGCCGATAGGTGTCTAATTTTTTGTCATCAGTGGGAAAAATCTCCAGGTCTGGGTAATTTTTTGGCTAAAATCCTAAGTTAAGCAGTTTTTAGAAATCGGCTAAAAAGAGCCGTTAGATAACACTAATAAATTTTATAATCAAAAAGTATTAAAATCTGTATAAATGGGCGAATAATAAATATTCATAATTATTTATGATAAAATACATTTTATCAATTCAATATTGTTTAACAATCGTTGATTCATAAATTTCATAGGAAATAGATATTAGCTGCAATAAAATAAATGTGTTTAATTAATAAATCTTTTATGGGGTTATTTTTTTTAGGCCATGTATTTTAAAATTATTTTTTTTATATTAAAAAAATTACTTTTATAAAAAAATGAAGATTTATGCCAGCCCTAATTAATCTCCTTTTCGTTTATTTTATTTCCACTTTATAATATAATGGGTATTATTATAATATGCAAACAATAAATATTCGAGAATGCATTAAATAATTTGTTTTAAACAATAAGTACAAGCAAAATCTTATTTTAAGTGTTTTTCCAGGAAAAAATAGTCACCTTAAAGTAATTTATAATCATAACTTTATGAGGTCCTTTAAGTGTGATGACATTTGCATCACTAAAGTCTGGCTCAGAATTCCCATTATCGACGACCTTACGTCTGACCCTTCTAAGCGACTCTTCAAGTTCCATTCTATTTTTCTCTTCCTCTTCATCCACAATTTTCAACATTTCTTTTTCATCCATGACTTGGCCTGAAATATATATTTTTGCGAATGAACGATGAATATAAAAAAAAGTGTAGTTTAAATAAAGGTAGAAAATAGTAAGGTAAAAAAAAATAATATGAACTTAAAACTTCTTATTTGAATCTCAAATTTGTGAAAATTCTCTTCATCTTAAAAAATCTATCTCATATTTTCAATTGATGATTTAAGAATTTGACTCCAATAAATATTTATATTACTCAAATATACATATTTTTTTGATAATAAAAATTTTAATATTATAAATCAATACCATGTATTGTGTATGCTTTATCATTGTTGTTACTATTATCTTTGCGATTGTGTTCTTGGCTAAAAATATATCAAAATTTAACCCAGAATTAAAGTTTTTATTATTTTTTGGGGCATATGTGAAAATGTAGGCTTATACATGCAATGACAATTATTTCAGAAGAAATTAGAAATTCTATTATATATATCTTCGTAGAAAATGAAGGGAGAGTGTACATAGTTTAAAATTAAATTCATAAACCATCAAAAAAATCTATACCTTATATAATGAATTTTTTTTTAAATATCATTTTATTACTCATCATCAATAATATGGGATGACTTAGGCCGGAACTTCTTGTTTTTCTTTTTAGGCCTTTTCCTAAATTCTGCCTATATTTTCAAAAAAAAAATTAAATAGTCAGACATTCCTTAAATTTAATAAAATTTAAAAATATATATAATTGAATTTATATAGTAGAGGTTAGCGAATTTAAGTTGATGATTCATAAACCTTGGATTTTAGCAAATTTGTCATAGTTATTAAAATATAAACAAATTTCTCAATATTAAAAATATATTTAGCCAATAAGATAATTTAAAAAAGTTAATCTTTGAAATTAAAACGGATTATTTTATAGCTTATATTTTGTTTAATTAAAAATGCTAGGGTTGTGCATTTGACCGGTCAAATACGTTTCGGTCAATTGACCGATATTTGACCGGTCAAATATGGTCAAATTCAAATATATGTTTTTTTAAAGTTAATATTAACTTTATTTTGAATATAATAGTAAAATGAATCTATAATATTAATTTTTTAAATTCATTGTCATTCAATAACTAACATTCTTTAATATTTTTTAATCAATTTTCCTGATGTCTTAGATTTTCAATCGATTTCTATTTTCATAAGAATATTAACCCTAATCGACCTATTTCTTTCTAAGGAAGAAGTAGAACTAGTTGTTAGTCTCTTAATGGGCATGGTGGACAAAGTTTAATCTATTAACTAGAGGTCGGAATTGATTGTTTCTGGAAATTACTACTTTCTACATAATTTGCTATATAAAACATGCTGTTTTTGCTTCTGAAATTAATTATATCACTTAAAATATTTTGGTCAGCACTATCTTGTAAAATAGCTAATTCTTGAATTATATCACATACTTGTGCGTTCTCCTCTTGATATTGTGGACACAAAAAATAAGCAAACATTGTGATCACATGTATTTACATCTTTTTTCCCTTTTTTAAACATATTTTTATTTTATTTTTCCTTTAATTTTTTTTAGAGTATTTGACCGTATTTGACAGGTCAATTGACTGAATTTGACTGGTCAATTTACCGACTTGCCAACCCTGAAAAATGCTCTCAATATTGTGCATTCAGGCCCCTTTTACTTATAAGATGAAAAAAGATTTATCTTCTTTTCCAAAGGAACTTGAAGTTGATATATATTGAGATGAATATGTTATTTACATATGAGTATGAGAGAATTTATGCCTTTCGTCCCCTTGGTAATTCCTAGTAGATGATTGCTATGAAAAGGAGAAAAAATGTCGATACAGGTGAAATGTCGGTCATGGGTAGTGTTGTTAAACGGCTCATTTTGAGGATTTTTAAAAACGGCTAACTCAATATTTTATCTAGAAAAAATATTACGCAAGTCTGAAGATTCTGCTCATAGAAGGTCTAGACATATATTATCGAAATCTCGAAATGGCTCAAAACGAGCCGTTTAACAACACTAGTCATGGGTTTGTCGATATCCCATGGGATCAGTGTATCCATCAGGCCGATGTTGTTAATGACCAAAAAATCTTGCAGTTCGAGCTCTGTTAGAATATATGATACTATAAATTATTTCATGCCTTACTTTTTCGTTAACTTGTGCCCCACACTTTTAATATTTAAGGTTAATATATTATACACCCTCCCCAGTTTAATAGCCATTGCGAGCCTAATCCTGTGTCGGTCAATGATCTTATTGTTTCGTTTGGATAGGCCTCTAACCTTTCAAAACCGATCTTGTTCATAATGAACAGAGGTTGGTAGGCTGCTCTATGTCGTTGCTCAAATGTGGAGTCAATGGAGCGTGACATCCTTTCATCTTATATTATCTTGATTATAGCTAAACAAAACAAGGATGGACCTAGAAGTTCGCCCTGCTGAATTTCCTGGGCTGATAAAACTAGGTTTTTTGCAACGTAGAATTGATGGTAGCTGATTGTATGCAGTTAAAGAATTCTGGATATTTTCCTTAAAAACTCTGAATTATAATATTGGGGTTTAATGAATTGAAAATATTTGCTATATCAGGTTTAATAAATAAATGATCTGATGGCAGGTTTTTCAGGATAATTCTGGCCACGTGGTTTGCAGTTTGGTAGCCTCAGTTATTGAATGAGTCTTTTATACATTAGCAAATAAGTTTCAATAAACTTTTCTGATAGCATAGGTAAAATGCCCCAATTTGATTTTTGAAACTATTAGTTCATCAAAGATCAAAGGGATTAAATTGTGTGGTAGCCCTCCATTGAGAGGTTGCTGAAACAGGTATAAGCTGGCATTATATACATTCATTAGATCACGAAGAAATATAAGCCTAATGACATCTGTTCCTACAGCTGAGTCTATCAGAAAAAAATGATAGCATCTGATACTTCTACCTGTACTGAGGTCTTTATAGATAAAAAACTGATTACTATTTGCAATTGGAGGATGTGTCAATAAGTTCTTTGTACACTTCTTCGGAGTCAGAAGCTACCAAGTCGTTGTTGGAAAACCCAATGTGGAGCAGTTTTACAATTAAAATTATTAATTAATTTTTGCCAATTTTTCAAGATTCTTATTTTTATGTTAATAAATTCTATATGATTTAAGTCACTTTTTTATTAATTATTTTATAATGTCCCTAATGATTTCTGACAATGGGAAATTTTTATACTTTCATCTATTTATAAACTGTTCAGAGTGTACCCCGTATTCTAATAAAGTGAGTGAAAAGATTGAGCAAAGAATGCATTTGACCAAGTGTGATCAGGTATTTTAAGTAAATTAATCACGGACTGAGCTGAATTTGAATAGTTTGCTAAGACTTAAGGCATTTGATATGATAAGAGGGATTAAGGAATTGTTATCATTAGGTGTTATGATTTATAATGTAGAAAGGGGAATGCTTACATTGGGTGGAACCATTATTTTTAGAGTTTGGACATTTAAATCAGTTGCCCCTTAAAAAGGAAAATTTATTGTCTGTTATAACAGTATTTTCTGTAACAAAAAGGCAAAGACCTTTTATTAACATTTAATAATTATATTGTCTTATTTTAAAACATATTTATAGTATCTTCTTATTTACATAATATATTCAAACTTCAACAGTTTTTCTATTAATTTTCTTCAAATTGTCATAATACATACTTGTACATTTTGTAAAAAGTGTAGCAAAGACAGAAAGGACGAATTATCAAGATCTTAAGATTAAAACAAATTTGAAAAAACCCCTGTTTCTATGAAGGATAGTCCCGAAATTGTTAAAGTTCACATTTTTAAGCCCAGCTTGGAATTTAAAAATATCCAGTTTTCAAAACTTGCCCAGATTTTAGTCACTTATTACCGTTCAGTATCGAAATTTATTTTAGGCACGGTCTGGGATTATAGCTCGGCTCTAATTTATTAAATAATACAATTTTATGACCCGCATGCTAAGCCTGCTGGTCTCTGATTAACTCACCCAAATCGAGATTGATCTCTGACAAAATATAACTAACACTTGGCCCAAATCTTATGTTAGATTTAAGTTAATATCGTGGTCATTTATCAAATATTATAACTTTCTATCAAAATCGTAAAATTTAGCGAAATGTCACATAACAAAAATATAAGGAAAATGTAAATGATCACCAATTATAAAAATTTTAACTTGACTACCCAAATCGCGAAATGTCCACGCGGCAAAATATATAATTAAAAAAATAGACCAAACAATACGATATCAAATTGTTTTTAAAACAGCTATTTATGCAAATAATGATTCTATACTATTTCTTCGTGTGTATAATATTCTTTTGCTATCGTCAAAGGTGCGGTCTCCAGGGTATCCTATATTTATTTTTAAATGATTTTTTCTTTCTTTAAATTTTCGACAATGAATATTTATAAAAATGTAAGAAATTTAGTTTTCTTAAATACCAATTGATTAAAATTATTTTTTTAATAAGATTGTTGAATTTGTATTTTTGTATACTATTTACAATATATCTTCCTTCTTTCTTTCATTTTCTTTCTATATCATTATATATATTTAAAGTAATAGGAACTAACGATGTTCAAGCCTTCCCTCATTTTCTTCATTTGCATTTCCTTCTCCTGTTTGTAACCAGAAGCATTGACTATACCGTTCTCTCCTAAATAATAATTAATTTATTGTAATATTACTCATCATCACTTTAGTATTAAATGAACTAATTTTGATCTACTATATTCAGATTTCCCAATTTGAGATAACAGTTATAACCTTCATAAAAAAGAAGACTAAAATGTGAAAATTATAACTGGAAAAAGATTTAATAAATTATAAGATTTCCGAGACCCTAAGTAAAACGCTAACACTAAATAAAATGAGAAGCAAACATTATTAAAAAATATTAGCTCTAAAATAAGTTCCTTAATATCAAAATTTGATTTTTTTTTATTATAGTTATATGTAATTTTGTAAAAAAATATAATTATCCAATCAAATAAAAAAAACTCAAGAATATATTTTAAGAAAAATAGCTGTAAATATATTTTCGAAATTGTTATTTAACTTAAAATAATAAATAATATATTTTTGGGAGAAAAGAGCATATATCGTTAGTCTCACTGCAAGTCTTTCTAATATTTTTTTTAATGGTTAATATTTAATAAGAAATAACAGTTGTAATAGGGGAGATCGGGCTCCTAATAAATTTTTACCACCCTCTAGTGGTGTTAAACAGCTCGATTTGAGTCGATTTTATAATCCAATATTTTAGCCAGAAAAATATTGCCTTAAATCTCGATCCTCAGCTAATAGATGTCCAAACATGTACCATCTATGACCTAGAGCTTGAGGCCTCCGTAATATATTTCTGGATAAAATATTAACTTAGCCGTTTTTAAAATAGGCTCAAATCGAGCCGTTTAACAACACTACCACCCTCCCTTCCAAAAACAACAAATTTTTTGATATTTTTTCAGAATGTGTTTTGTTTAATGCAATTATAAGAAAATTACAAAAAATGAGCGAATATTGTAAATTGGTCATGAAATCTATATATCAAAATTATGATTATATGTTGGTCATAGATATATCCAGGGGATGAAGAACGCGAAATCTCTATTGGCAACTTTGCAAAGTTTCATAAATATCATTTCAAGTAAATATAAATTGATACACTACAATTATCCTCTGCCCCACGTACTCTCGCCACAAAAATGAAAAAAATATTTTTTCAGAAAAGGCATATAAAAGTAACAATATAATAAAAAAACAAATATTATTCAAAAAATCAATGTAATTCGACCAAAGGCCGGTAAAACTGGGGTAAGATAAATCAGCTCTTAAGAAAAAACATCTCTTTGGGAAAAAAACACCTCTTAATTTATATCCTAAAATTAATATATGGTGAAATCCATATCAAATCAACAAAAAAAGTCGATTTTCAACCCGACCTCTTCAATTTTTCTTAAATTTTGTATACTGGTAGTATATACCATAACTAAGAAAAAAAATTTTTTACCTTCCAACACTGTTTACCCGCTAAGATATGGCCATTTAAAGCGCGGAAAAATGGTACATTTTTGAATGCATCTCATTTATTTTCAAATATCTCGAGAAATAATTATGTTAGAAATATAATTTACATTTTATTTTGTAGCTTAATAAAAGTTCTTTAAAATGACATAAAAATAAATATGATGGACATTTTATTAATATCGAAAACCGGATGTGTAAAACCGAAAATGGCCATAGAAAAAAAAGGTGTTTTTTTTCAAAATTTTCTTTCTGTAGATAGATATCACACTGCTTTATATTTGTACAAAGTCCTAGACTGGAATCAACATGGGTTTAGGAGTTATCACTCTTTATATGGCTAAAATTGAACAAATTTAACATTAATATCATCATATTTTAATTTAATGAATAGTTAAGGAATAATGTTAATTTAAAAATTATGTCTAAATGATAGGCCTTACTTTTTTTTATCTTTATCAAAAAAATTTTGAGAGGTGGCTGGGATAATGAGCTGTTTCAAACTTTAGTTAAATTTTATTTCGAAATTAAAATTAGTGATCTGCATCGGGCCTAATTTTTCAAGCCAGGCCCGGCCCGAAATTTTTTTAAAAAAAGTTTTGCCAGCCCGGCCTGAATCCGAAATTTTTTAAAAAAGTTTTGCCGGCCTGGCCCGAAATTTATTTTAAAAAAATTTACCGGCCCGGCCAGGCCCGAATTTATTTAAATATAGAAATTAATTTTTATAATTACTAAAATAAAAGACATATGTTATATAGCGTTTAGTTTCAATAAATTAAATCAAAAATTTTTATTTTACATAAAAAATTCAATATAAAATTGATAAATTTAGATATATTTAATAAAATTTCCAAGGTCCGACCCGACCCAGCCCGAAATTCTTTTAAAAATAGGCCCGGCCCGAACCCGATTATTTTAAAAAGAATTAGGCCCGAGCCTGGCCCGAAGCCCGTTCGGGCGGGCCGGGCCTAACTTTGGAGATCTCTAATTAAAATTACTTGACAAAATAATCTTAAATATTTTATTTAGCATAAAATAATCTACCAAAATTGAAATTCAAACAATAAATTTTCCCCCATATATTATTAAAAGAAAGGCTTAATATATTATTTGACGAGAATTCTATAGATTATAAAACATTCAAACAATTGATAGCAGTTGATCGAACTACTCTCAAAACACTGACAAAATCCGCTGATAAATTTGTAGATTATTTAATTGAATAATTAAACAATTTGATTCCTCATTTATTATAGCTTCACGATAATCATTAATTCGAAATTTTTTAAAATTCAATTTAAATTTTGGCGAATTCTTAGTTATTGCAGACTTTTCAGAAAACTATGCATTTGTAGTGCAGAACCATGCACAAGGATTTAATCAGACCAATAATCAAGCATCAAGCCACTATCAACTCTTTTATAATTTATTACCTTGAGAACAACATAATAAAACATGTAAATTTAGTGGTTATATCAGCAGATTGTTTAAAGCACAACGCATGTGCATTTTATTTATTTTAAAAATTAATAGTATTTTTGAAGGAAAGATTTAATAGAGTGGCTAAAATTTATTATTTTTCTAATGGAGCAGTAACCTATATAAAAATAAAAGATTTCATTAATCTCTACAATCATGAAAATGATTTTGGGATAAAGGCTGAGTGACATTTTTTAAAACCGCACAAAGAAAAGCCCATGCGACATTTTGGGGGCTGTTACTAAAAGGTTAGCAGCTCGAGCAAGCTTGCAACGTCCATATGAACATCACATATTGACAACAATGTATTTATTTAACTATGCGAGAAATAATATCTATGGGGTAAATTATATATTTGTGAGCAATAATGAATATATGAACATAGAAAGTCATCTTGAAAGCAGATTTTTGGAGAAAGAGAATTTCTGAAACACAGAGTTCCAAGCTTTTATTCCCCTAGACGAAAACAAGTCATAATTTATTAAAATTCCTTGGATGATTATAATATATGATATATTTTAATTATAAATTTTTGATTGTATTATATGTAATGCAATTTGAGGCAAATAAAGTTATAAATATGTTTAGAATTATTTTGTCAAATAACTTTGAGACAAAATTTAAAAAGTGTTAAACAAAGCTCATTATTCCAGCCACTTCTCAAAAATTTTGATAAAGATAAAAAAAAGTAAGGGCCTATCATTTAGACATAATTTTTAAATTAACATTATTTCATAACTATTCATTAAATTAAAATATGATGATATTAATGTTCAATTTGTTTTTAGCCATATAAAGAGTGATAACTCCTAAACCCATGTTGATCCCAGTCTAAAATTTTGTACATATATAAAGCAGTGTGGTATCTATCTACAGAAAAAAAAACCTTTTTTTTCTATGGCCATTTCCGGTTTTACACATCTGGTTTTCGATATTAATAAAATGCTTATCATATTAATTTTTATTTCATTTTAAAGAACTTTTATTAAGCTACAAAATAAAATTTAAATTATTTTTCTAACTTATTTATTTCTCGAGATATTTGAAAATAAATGAGGTGCTTTTTGTCAAAAATGTACCATTTTTCCGCGCTTTAACGGCCATATCTTAGCGGATAAATAGTTTTGGAAGGTAAAATTTCATTTTTTTCTTAGTTATAGTATATACAACCAGTATACAAAATATAAGAAAAATTGAAGGGGGTCGAGTTGAAACCTTGGTTGATTTGATATGGAATTCACCATATATATATATATATAAATTCTTCTATAATAATTAAGTTTATATATATAAAAGTAATTTTTGTCTATCCTTCCCAAGTGAATATTCAGAGAATTGTCTTGTTTCAGTATTTTTTTTCTTTTGGTAACGGACCCGTTTAAAAGACACGTCTTAAAAATGAACCATTTCGGAGACTGATTTATTGGAACGAATAGGAGCGCAAACCCGGACGCATCTTAAAGAAAAAATTTTTAGGGCCGAACGCGTCTTAATGCAAATTTTATCAGAAAATAACTAATTTCATTTTGCCAAAATGATAAAATAAATATAATAAACAAAATTATTTACAATAAATTAATAAATACGTAATAAATATATATAATTAATATATCTTCTTGCTAGAAATACTCTGGAATAGAAATGATTTATATAATATAAATATTATTATGTAATAAATATATATAATTAATATATCTTCTTGCTAGAAATACTCTGGAATAGAAATGATTTATATAATATAAATATTATTATGTAATAAAAAAATAATAACACTCTCTTTAAGTTCTATACCCATTGAAAAAAACATCCAAAATATAGAGGAAATACATGAAATTACTAATGAATATCTTATAATTAAAAGCTTTAAGTAATAATTATTTTATATAATAACAATAATTAATTTATATAATTAATTCATATTATAATTAAAAAAATTGATCCTTTTTTGGTCTTAGGATGGGCGCGTCCTTCAGACATATTATAAAAGACGGGATATTTTTAGGACCGACTTTTAAGAACCATTCTCTAATTAAGCCTTGTAATATAAATAAGTAAATATAACTTTGTACTATATAAAAATACCATCCAAGCATTTCTATTGGTAATTAGGTTACGACTTACCGAGTCTTTAAGATATGATAGAAACATATTATAAAAAACAATTCTTTTGTTAGTTTAGGTCTGCAGTGAGACCGGCTGTATGTATATAATTAAAAATTAATCGATATTATAAAGCGATCTTTTTCAGAAAATGAGCAACTATTGTACCTAAAATAAAAGTTTCCTTTTTAGGTCCTTCTCCGATTTCTTCATCGTATTTATCCAACAAATTCTTCGGTTTATACTATGTTTTTTTAAAAAAATTATATCTAAATTTATATATTATAAAATATATCAAATTTCAAATCATTTATGGGTTATAAAAAATAAATATCGCATGAAACAAAAAATAATCTATTAAATAATATTGTAATTTTTAAGATGTCGTCATTTGGTTATTCTTTTAACTACTTCCTCCAACCTTATAATTATGTTACTGTTTAAGATATTATGCCCTTTACTAAAATATCATCAATGCATAATTTAAAAAGAACTTCTTTTAGCTTGAATTAGTGCAAAATAGTGCGCTGAGGCAAAGAGGAGGACCTACTTTACCCCAAACGCTATTTAGGTTAAGAATACTCTTATTAATTTTAAAAAAAAAACACCATATGAGGATAACTATCGGAATCATTCCATATCATTTTGACCAACGATTTGACAAACATTTTTAAAATTAATGAAGCTTAGTTTGTTAGTTAAATCTGTTCAGCTCAGATGGACCCAGGGTTATGATCTCTCAAAGTTCACTAGAATTTTTGCAAACTTACTCAAAACTCTGGAGAGCAATACTAAGGAGTGCTTTGTGCCTTCTATTATTGAAAACCGTTAAGGAATAATCCAATCCCACAATCTAATAACTATTTAAATTTTATACTATTATATATCTTTAATAAGGTAATTTTTATGCATGAGTAAATATTTGCATTTATATGATTACTAGCTGATGGATCATCAATGACAAAGAATTAGAATTTTCTTATTAATTTGATAATGGATGAATCAAAAATTCCTCTCTTATTGATGGAAAAATTAGAAAACTATTTATAATTCTAGGGAGTTGTTAAATTAAAAACCACCTTTATGAATTATCACTTTTATGAAATATTATGTATGTGATTTTGCAACTCGGTAAATCAATGAAATTGTTATCATGGAAACAGATTTTGGTTTTATTAAGAATGTGTCTTTTAAAATTGGCTTCAAAGAAATTTAAAATTTTATACGAAATTATAAGTGAGAGGGATGAAAATCATCGCGTATGGATGTAAAAAAATTGTTAAAAAAATTGATAAATCCAATTATTTCTTTATTAGATAAAATTCATATAACTCACAAATCATATTTTTTTATTCCGTATATTTCATAATATATTTGGACTTTTTTCTAAAAATTTATAGAAATCTTGGGAGAAATTCCTTTCATTTGACTATTGATTAAAGACAAGATTCTTTTAACTTTGGCATGATGAGCTAATATAGAGAAAAAATGAAGCCTGCTATAATAGCAGTTTACTATATTGTTTAATGATTGGAATATAAATGAAATCAGACCAATTTATGAATGTTATATCTTATAAAATTATATTCAACACTATTTGAGTATTATATTTATTTACAATATTATAACTTTCCTACATTAAATATTATATTATTGAGGTCAATCTAATTGCATAATATTAAAAGTTAAATTACATAATTATAAAATAATATATATAGATGAGAAATAAAAATAAATATACCGATTGTTTTGACTATAAAATATTGGCGATAAATCAAATAAAAAATGCGTTCTTCGTTCAAGTTATATATTAAATAGAATTTTATACATTTTTTTGTTTAAAAAAAATAAAATAAATAATAGATCTGTTTAGAAATTATTTTTAAAATTACATCTAGAAGAATGTTCTCTAAACGATTATATAGACTACATCAAATATATGCTGAATGATAAAAATATTACTCAAGCTGACGCCACTTTGAGAAAATTATTTACAGCTTATGGGGAATAAATATCATAACTGATATAAAAAAATTACTGTTTTCAAGAAAAATTGATGATGTGATATGGACAGATCTATACAAAATTGCAAAATAACTTTATAAAGATGAAAGAACTATTTTGGCATCGAAAATTGATTTTATTAGATTAAGTCGCGGACCTACAGAATCCGTATGAGTTATTTAAAAACTATAAAGAAGCTAGCCCAAGGATGCGAATGTGAAGATAATGTAGAAGTAAGAATTGGCGATCAATTAATCGCTGGACTAAAGATGTCACAACTAGATAAAGAACTATGTTTAAGTTTCCCAGATACTGGAGGACCAACCGTTAAGCTTAAACAAAGCTATAGAAATGCCTTTAGCGATGGAACGGGCCAATACTAAAATGGTTTATAAAATCAAAGAGACGACCAAATATAATGAAAATAATAAACGATTAAATCAAAATGATAATAATATTCGATAATATAATGATAATGGACACTATCCAAATGACAATAAAATATACGTAAAAAGAAAACCAGTGCAAGGTTATAACTACTACATAAATAAAAAATTAAAATAACAATAGGAGGAATAAAAGAATTTTCAATAATGCTTTGTCTATAATTTAATTATTTTAGCAAACAAAATATTTTTATATAGATGGGTTTTAATTTAATCGTCAACATGCTTCATTAAATCATCACAACACTATAATGGATCCATTTATTTTTTAAGTATTATGTAAAAATAAAGACACATATTGTTTTATTCTTTAATTTTTTGTTTTTAATATAACTTACCCTGTATCATGGAAATGACTCATCAGATCCAGAATCCACGTCCGGTCCAAAATAAATTTCCAAATTCAGGTCAAGAAAAAATGTTTATCTAAGTCCGACAAATCCGAGTTTGATCAGATTCGGATCTGACCATACTGGGTTCGTGTTAGAACATAATAATTAAGTCTAACATTATTGGTTTAAATTTTTTTTTGACCTATATTGTCAACAATAAACATCACATTACCTCACGCATTTTTCAACTAATACTTTAAAAAAGATAGATAAAAAAAATACCAATCCGAATTCATCATATTGTTTTTCCTCTTCAAGGTAAGGTTTATATTCCGGTCTTATTTTTTTGGTTTGTATGTATTTGATGGCTCTCTCAGAATCTATAATATTGATGTTTTGTAAAATTATCTCCTCTGAGCCCTCCGCTTCTGCCTCTTCCATTTCTTTGAGGATGTCTAAATAATTTAAATGATTAAATATATCTTTTTAAACATGTTTAAATGTTATATTATAATCAGAACTTAGAACTCTAACAACCAAGACAAATCTAGGAACCCAAACTAAAACTTCTAGGGAACGAATGGATAGGGGCTTATCGGCCCAAAACCGATCTCGAGCCATATTTTTTTAAATTTGGGACAGGTCTCGGGTTAAAAAATAATAAAAAATAACACAGAAAATTATTTTCTATTGATTTATTAAAATAAAATGATAATTAGAATTTATTTGTTATAATTGAGGTCATGCCTAGTGTTGCGTAATCGGAAAACTACGCCTAAACCTAATAAGGCTAAGCCTAAAAATCGGCTAAGCCTATTAGGCTAAGCATAAAAATCGGCTAAGCCTAATTAGGTAAGCCTAAAAATCGGCTAAAACTAAAAATCGGCTAAGCCTAATTAGGTTAAGCCTAAAAATCGGCTAAGCCTATATAAATCTGCTAAAATTAAATTAGTCAAAATTCTGCATCGATGCTTAGTATTAATTATTATTTATTTATTTTAGTAAAATAATTTATTTTATTTATATTTAATGTAAATATTTTATTATTATCAACAAATAAACATGATATGATTTAATATTTTTTATTTATCTATATATATAATAGCCATATTCAAGAAATGAACGTTTTCGTATCTTGGTAATGTTAATTTTTTTTTGTATCAACTTTCATATCTTCATAACGTTAATTTTTTCACTTTCCTATCTCATAATGTTAAAATATTTTTTTTCCATCAACTTTCCTATCATCTTAATGTTAAATAAATCGAGGGCTATTATTATCTCGCTAATGTTAAAACTTTTTTTAAAAATTTTTTTATGGCAAAATAGAGATTCGAACTCGCGACCTATCGTTCGGAAGGCAAACGTTCTTACCATTGAGCCCCCCCCCTTCAATATTATATTTTGATATATTTGTGTATATATATGAAGCTTTATATACTTTGCGCATGCGCCTAATTTTGACGTAATTTTTGAATTTCTCACCAATATATTTTTACCGTTTTTCAATTAATTATACCGCCAACAATATTGGAATCTCTTGAAATGACATTAGCTACCCATTTTTAACATGCTTCCTTCATTATTGATTAAAATTTCATAAAAGTAATTATTAAAATTTAGATCTTATAACTATTCTTTAAATTATATTTAGCTATTTGACAAACAAAAATAAATCTCACAATACACCCTGACATTAGCTACCCATTTTTATCATGCTTCCTTCATTCTTGATTAAAATTTCATAAAAGTAATTATTAAAATTTAGATCTTATAACTATTCTTTAAATTATATTTAGCTATTTGACAAACAAAAATAAATCTCACAATACACCCCAAACAATATTGGAATCTCTTAAAATGACATTAGCTACCCATTTTTATCATGCTTCCTTCATTATTGATTAAAATTTCATAAAAGTAATTATTAAAATTTAGATCTTATAACTATTCTTTAAATTATATTTAGCTATTTGACAAACAAAAATAAATCTCACAATACACCCTGACATTAGCTACCCATTTTTATCATGCTTCCTTCATTCTTGATTAAAATTTCATAAAAGTAATTATTAAAATTTAGATCTTATAACTATTCTTTAAATTATATTTAGCTATTTGACAAACAAAAATAAATCTCACAATACACCCCAAACAATATTGGAATCTCTTAAAATGACATTAGCTACCCATTTTTATCATGCTTCCTTCATTATTGATTAAAATTTCATAAAAGTAATTATTAAAATTTAGATCTTATAACTATTCTTTAAATTATATTTAGCTATTTGACAAACAAAAATAAATCTCACAATACACCCTGACATTAGCTACCCATTTTTATCATGCTTCCTTCATTCTTGATTAAAATTTCATAAAAGTAATTATTAAAATTTAGATCTTATAACTATTCTTTAAATTATATTTAGCTATTTGACAAACAAAAATAAATCTCACAATACACCCCAAACAATATTGGAATCTCTTAAAATGACATTAGCTACCCATTTTTATCATGCTTCCTTCATTATTGATTAAAATTTCATAAAAGTAATTATTAAAATTTAGATCTTATAACTATTCTTTAAATTATATTTAGCTATTTGACAAACAAAAATAAATCTCACAATACACCCTGACATTAGCTACCCATTTTTATCATGCTTCCTTCATTCTTGATTAAAATTTCATAAAAGTAATTATTAAAATTTAGATCTTATAACTATTCTTTAAATTATATTTAGCTATTTGACAAACAAAAATAAATCTCACAATACACCCCAAACAATATTGGAATCTCTTAAAATGACATTAGCTACCCATTTTTATCATGCTTCCTTCATTATTGATTAAAATTTCATAAAAGTAATTATTAAAATTTAGATCTTATAACTATTCTTTAAATTATATTTAGCTATTTGACAAACAAAAATAAATCTCACAATACACCCTGACATTAGCTACCCATTTTTATCATGCTTCCTTCATTCTTGATTAAAATTTCATAAAAGTAATTATTAAAATTTAGATCTTATAACTATTCTTTAAATTATATTTAGCTATTTGACAAACAAAAATAAATCTCACAATACACCCCAAACAATATTGGAATCTCTTAAAATGACCGAGCCCAGGCCTGCAATAAAATTTGTTTTAGTTCAATGTCTGACTCATAGTTAATAATAAAAAAATTCCCAAGCCCAGCCCCATAATTCATTTAAAAATACAATCAGAATATGAAAGTCGCATAGGCCTTGGTTTTTTGATAAGGCCTGGCCATGTCTGCGAAAAAAAATTTCCCGGCCAATGTTATCTCTATTTTAAATTTTACTTAATATGATATCTATCACAATTTTAAATTTTATTTTAAAATCTAAATATAAAATTTAATTTAAGACATTGTTATTAAATTACAATAGAAATAAATGGAATATAAAATTAAATTTAAGAAATTGTTATTAAATTACAATAAAAAATAAATGAAAATTATATAAAAGTTGCATTGGACTTGGTTTTTTGATCAGGCCTGGCTATGTCTGCAAAAAAAATATCAGGCCAATGTCTATATCCCATATTTAAAATTAAAAAATTTTCAAGAATCTCTATTTTAAATTTTACCCAGATATTTCTAATACCCATAATGCTCGCGGGTTACATTGCAACAATTTTACCTCTTTTTCTCTTAAATTTTAATATTTTTATAAAATATATTAATAAAGCATATTTCTTATCATATACACCTAACTAATTAGTAATTACCCACAATAGAAATAAAAGGAATATTAAAATTAAATTTAAGACATTGTTATTAAATCAAAATAAAAAAAATGAAAATTTTATGAAAGTTGCATGGGACTTGGTTTTTTGATCAGGCCTGGCTATGTTTGTAAAAAAAAATTTTCAGACCAATATCTATATCCCATATTTAAAATTAAATTTTCAAGGATCTCTATATTAAATTTTAGCCAATATGATTTCTGTCACAATTTAAATTTTGATATTTCTAATACCCTTAATGTTCACGTGTTACATTGTAACAATTTTACCTCTTTTTCTCCTAAATTTTAATATTTTTATAAAATATATTAATAAAGCATATTTAGTATCATATACACCTAACTTAATAATTACCCATCAACCCGTCATTCTAATTAAATTAAGTTAATTTTATAAAAAAAAGTTTCATATATATACAAATATATCAAAATATAATATTGAAGGGGGGGGGGCTTAATGGAAAAAAGTTTGTCTTCCGAACGATAGGTTGCGAGTTCGAATCCCAGTGTTGCCATAAAAAATTTTTTACATTAACGAGATAATAATAGCTCTCAATTTATTTAACATTAAGATGATTGATAGGAAAGGTGATAGAAAAAAGATATTTTAACATTAGGAGATAGGAAAGTGAAAAAATTAACGTTAAGATGATAGGAAAGTTGATAGAAAAAAAATTAACATTACCAAGATACGAAAACGTTCATTTCTAGATTTAGGAATTTTTTTGTGTTACCAGTTATTTGAAAATAATATTTAATTTTTATTCTTTGTAACGTTAATAAATAGAATACTATGGAAAATAGACAATCTCCCAAACAATTAAAGGAAAGTATCCGCAAATTACGGAATCACATAAAATCCAAATATAATAATCCTAAATTAGTTTCATTAACTACAACTCATAATCCTAATTCAAATTTATATCTCCCAATTGATTTATCAATTAAAACTGCTATGATTAGCGCATGCATAAGCCGTTTTCATCAAAAAATTAAACAAATCTTCCCTACCACTTACACTTCTATTTTGGGAAATAGAAAAAGATTAAACATAACAAAAGAAGTTTTATTTTCCAATAATTTAGATAAAATATTTTTATTTTAAGGAAAGTGGTCGTAAAGTGCGAAGTCATATAAAATCCAAGAAACCCAAACCTATAGTAGCTTTAGTACCTACACCTCAAAGTATTAATTTAAATAAACCTTTTCCTATTGATATATCAACTAAAACTGCTAGGATGCGGGCATGTGCTGCCCGTTTTCGTCTAAAGCTTAAACAGATTTTCCCCACCACCTATACATCTATTCTTAAAAATAGAAGTAATTTAACACATTTTAATACTAATGATATTCACTTAATAACTGAACATACTTGCGGGCCTATGAATATCATATGTCAATTTTGTTTTTCCATGAATTTCATAGCTGAGAGACCGACCGACGGTAAATTCACACAGTGCTGTCATAAAGGGAAGGTTATCCTTACCCAAATACCATATCCTCCTTATTTAAAAAATCTTATATCAAACCCTCAAGATAAGTTACATAATAATTTTATGAAGAACATACGTTCTTATAATTCAGCAGTAGCTTTTGCATCGATGGGCGCAAAAATTTCGGAGCTTACAGGTAGTGGCCCTTATTGTTTCAAAGTGCACGGCCAAATATATCACCGCACA